CAAAAACCATTTACGACTAATCAGCAGAAAATCACTATAAAACTCTTAAAAAATAATTCAAAGTTCTAGACTCAGCCCTAGCCCGAGCCAATTTACTCGGCCAAGTCTAAGTGGACTTAGCTAAGTAATGTATAAGGGCCCAAAAAGCCCTAAAAATTTAAAAACAACACACTTCCCCCACCCATAAAAAAAAAAGCTAAAAAATGAAATAGGAACTTCAAAAAGTGAAACAAAACTAAAAACATAAGAAATCCACAGAAGCTGAAAAAACTATAAAAAAAAATATGGAATTTGAAAATATTGATTTACGGTTGGGGACATTTCAGAAAACCCAGAAAAAAAGAAAATAGCGAAGCAGGCCACTTGACAATCAAAACTCACAAATCATGATCAAATTACACATCATTTTTATACATTGATCTCACAAATTTATATATAATTTAAGTTTCTATTTTCAATATACCTGAATTGTATCGGGTACTTGGCATGGCCAAGAACTTGAGAGTCTGCCGAGTAGTCAAACACTCAGGGCAAAATATTGGAAACCCAGTCGCTAGAAGAACTTTTAATGGAACTAAATTTCAAACGATAATTGCAATTTCTCAAGATTTTTTGATGTATTTTGTAGGAACATCAAAACTTGTCATCTCTAAATTTTGTGCGACTTTTCTATGTTTCATCTTGTCTCAGATTCAATCGTTGAGATCTTATTATCAGTGTCAAAGCCCTTTTTCAACTAATTTTTGAGTTGGCTTCCGCCAATGTGCTTGTTTCACTTTGAGAACTTTCGGATCAGCATGAAAACAAATTCAAATTTAAGCGGCAACACAATTAATCAGTAATATATGGCATAATATAAGATGTCATCATTTTCTCAACAAGCCATCCTTCCTACTAAGGCCCCTCAATCCTACTATGTTACAGTCTGATGAACGAGAGGTTCAGAATGTGCATGAGCAAATGGGCCACTTCATATCTTGAATGACAATTCACATCAGATGTATGTGAACTGTTCAGTGCTCAAATTCTCAGCAACTACAATAATAGAGGTATGACAGTTTCCCATCCAATTTCGAGCGTAACTGACGAGCAGTTAGTCCTCGGTAACTGTTCTTGAAGCTCGCAATGCATAAATCGAGCACCTTCTTGGATAAGCAGTCTTCTTGGTAGAATGGCTGTCCTTTGAACTCTTCAAGAGGCATCCACTGCAGAACAAGAGTAAGTTCAGTAGACCATGAGTTGGTCTTAATGAAATAATGAAAAGTTTCATTGCATTTCTCACAATAGCTTGTTGCATAGACTATATTACATGGGCCTCATTTTAGCTTAATTAGCAAATGAAGATAAGAAAATGTGAGTCCTGTGACATTTGGTTCAAATGAATCGACACCCATTTTAGTGTGCCTCCATATAAACCAACTTACCTACCCAAACAAAAAAGATAACAAAGGAAAAACTGTGGAAATGCTATCAAAATCAGAATATTATACCATTATCATAATCCAAGCCTTTTCCCAATTGTTTGGGGTTGGGTCGGGTCCAGGTCCGGCCAAGACCCAAAAAAATGATTTGGGACCCGGACTTGGACCCAAAAATATAGTGTGGAACCCAGACCCGGAACCACAAACATTTTGTGGGATCCGGACACGGACCTGGACCCAATTGGACCTGACCCAAAAATTTAAATATCTAGGTATTTAATTATATTTAAATATCTATTTATTTAATTATATTTCATGAATTGGGACCCGAAAAATATTACCAGATCCGGACCCAAATAGTATTCGGGTCCAAGATTTGGACCCAGACCCAACCTGCCGGATCCAATATTTGGACCCATACCTAGATCCAGACCCGGATAGGGTCTACCCCTCGGGTCCTGGGTCAGGTTCGGGTCCATTGCCACCCCTAAGTAATTGGTAATAGACAATACAATAATACTTCTAGGTTCTGACCAGAGGCAGCATTAATCACCTTGGCAGCTTGAATTTCTGATTCATCGGTGGTAATCACTGTTGACAGGGGTTTCAGCATGCAAATGAAGAATAAGTCTGATTTCTCGAAATCCATGAAATGGGCATGCCTAGATTTTGTGAATAAATGTTAGAATTTTTTCTTCGCAGCCTCAATAACAATTAGACACTGTTGTAGAGTAACATGTGGGGAATGAGCACATCCCAAAGAAATTCAACAAATAGCATCTACACCCATGAGAGATGAAAATGACAATGTCATAACAAATAATACAACTTTTAAAAGAAACAAAAGAGAATTCTTTGATGACCATGCCTTTGGGTTCTTTTGATGCACAGCAAGAGAACATAAAAAGGTTTCAGATTGTTGATTGGCTCGTGGAACAAAAAAGTGTCTATACTCAAGCTATCAATGTATACTATAGCATAAAATGTATCATTATATGCTGAAACACTAAAAATTGTTATATATAGAACTGATTTAGTTGTCATCCTTATCCGTTTTGTCGATATTTAGAATGAGTTGATGTGGGAATGGGCTTGGTTTGCAGCAAGCTAATTGGAACTATTAGGTCAATCAATTAAATTAGCTTTGTCAAGTACAGCACCATTAACCTTATCATTGATCTTGTAGATCCATTTGACCCGACAATTTTCCCACTCGGTGGTGGTGAAACCACGTTCTGATTATCAATATTTTACAGGGAATGAATTTCTTCGATCATAGCTTCTTTCACATACCGAGTCATGCAAATTCTTATTAATGTGACTTACAGTATGTTGTAATGCCTTCGGAACAAATGTTTGATGCTTATGGCCAAAGGCTTAATTGTGAACACAATTCCGCCAGGTGTCTTTTTTTGCGAAGTTTGGCAAATTCCAGATTTAGGAGTAATCCTCAAGTAGTTAGTACAAGCATAGACCAAAGGATATGAAGTAGAGATTGGTGGGAAATGCATGCTTTCCATCGGACATGACAGTCTATTTAAACTCTTGAGAGTGAAGACGTTCAAGGGATGAGGTCTTCGCCATAAATTGTTGGTGGCTCAAGAGGGAGGCTGTATAAAGATAGAAGTGAAAGGCCTTCCTGAAAAGGATGCTGAACTGATCTAAATAAGACAATACAACAAACTTAACCTAGGAAAGGTAACTTAGTGCAGATATATATGAGCCTTCATGTTTCGTGGGCTGAGCTGTAATAGATGAAGGTTCACATACTATCATAGACTGAAACTTACAGTGCTCTGTTGAAGAAATGTGGGATACTATATGCAGGGTCAGGAATGGTCTACCATTCCTAGGTGCAAGTACAATTACTTGTTGTGAGCCAGGATGGAAAGTTAGATGACAGTTAATTGATGGAGAAGGTCGGAATGGCAAATGAACCAGTCCAAGGTGCCATCGGGTGCAATGATTCATTGCGAGCAGAGAGAGGCTAGTTTCTGTGATGTGGCCATGTATATGTTCGTAATTCAGGCCTAAACAAGTTAAAGGTACTTGATGAGCACTTAAAAGTACGATTTGTATTGTATTTTACCCAAAAACAAAATGAATGATGAGTATTTTACATTGATTTGGTAATTTCTTTAGTTTCTCAAAAAAGACAAAAAAGTTAATTGGTATGGAATTTGGTCTATACTGAAACATGCTTTTTCGACTTTAAAATTTGCATTAGCTATACCAACACTGCAAATTTTTGCTGCTGTAAAATGGGGCCAATAAAAACAAAGGAGAAAATATTAACTCTATAAACGTATTGGCATACAGTGGGCATCTATGCATAAGGAGTAATCATTAAAGCAAAGGTGTTATATTGTCCTTCTACTTGTACACGGCACAGTTCAAACATTTGAGGAAAGAGACTCTAGAGATGAGGAGAAGAATTTCACTTATTCCTACCTGAAAGCAATCACTTCTACAAATTCAGCATCAATCTGGAACAAGTAACAACAAAATAAATTTTGTCTCTAAGACATTAATCAGGTGAATAACAAGACTAGTATCAGGAATAATTTAACACTAAGATTTTGGAAAGCTATCTTGGTTAATGAAATGGAAAAATATAAGCAAAACATGGAATGGTTTTTTTTTTTCTTACACCAGTTTCTTCTTTGACTTCTCTTATGGCTCCTGCAAATATCTCCTCGGACTGCAAAGTCATTCAGAGAGAGACAAATAAGATATTTTACGGTATCATATACCAAGCACAATGAAGGGTGAAAAAATGGGGGAAAAAAAAAAACACTATCCATGAAATTTAGGTCCCATATGCGTTATGTTCTGAAACTTGAATGACACGCAAATGGATAACAAGTCGTCAGGTAATGTTATGATGTAATTTGTCAAGTCTTAAATCAATTTAGTTCAGCATTTTTCCAAATGGGAAGTAAAACGATTGATAGCAAATAACAAAACAATTTTCAAATGCTTATGGTTCTATTCCATGCTTATGGTTCTATTCCAGTCATAGATTTCTAAATTGTTTCAAACTATAAATCATTTTTTTCCATATTCCACTATGTTTATATTATTGTTTTCCATCTTTTGTGAACTTCTAATACTGTTTATATACTTTTTACTCATTCTTTCTAGTTTAACAACTTTATTTGTATTTTATTTCACAACTATTTAGCCTTTTTTGGGCTCGTAGATGACTCCGGCAGATCCGGGCCCGAGTTACTTGACTTGAGCAGGTGCCCAGTTCCTAGCCTGAGACAGGACTTGACCATTGGTTTGAACTTAATATAACTTCTACCCCTGGGGCACTTTTCCTTTAGCTCCTAAGAATTTGTACCAAATTTGACTTCACTCCAATAGAATAGAAATGTAAGATATTTTCTGACACTGCTAAAGAGTAAACAAACCCCTCAAGATCCTCTCACCCCCAACTTAACTGACCTCATGGATTAACCTTGCAAAGAAAATATGACTAGAACCAGCAATATGGAAGTACAAGTTTGCTGAAGATTCATATATATACACACAAACACATACACACATGTAGCACATCAACCTGGCCTTTACGAAAAAATAAATCGAAGCCACTTTAACCAGAACCCAAAAATAGTTACTGATAATAACCCAAAAAATACTATTGGGAATCAGGGAAATTGTAACTTTAGTCATAAATTGTTACTCTATAAGTTTAATACTTAAGGAAATCCAAAGTAATATGAATACCTTGTCAACAAATCCAGTTGGGTATTTCCAAACTCCTGAACACCTTAAGGCACACTTCTTTTCTTGCACTACCAGCACCTGCACAACAAGTTGCATTCAGAGTCATCTTATAAAAGAGGAAAAAAGAAGAACATGGTATTGATATTCAAGTCACAGAGAAGATAATTGAACACCAAAACAATGGCAACAGAAAATGCATATATATGTCCAGATTTTATCTCCATGTATATATTCATTGCATAAGAATGCATGAAGAAACACACCATAATCGGAATGGAAAATCATTAAAGGATTCAAACTGCACCTCCTTTTTATCATTGATTACAAAACTCCCAACTCCAACCAAATGAGAAGCACTGGAGGGAAGCAAGCAAGGCTCTTTAGGTATCCAATATGTTAGCATCACATATCCTGGTTCGGCGTGATGATATGTGAATCCCTCCTGAAGGCATAAACGTATAAATATGATTAAGAAAATTCTAATTTCAGAAAGTAAAAGTTCACATATACCAACATATCATGCATAAAAATAATTTGATTGCATTTGTCTCAAGGTGGTGCCACTATAACAAGGACCTACTTCAAAACTCTTTGTAAATCAGTTTTGTCTTGACAATTTTTTCTGTGGGACACATCTGGAGTCAGCATATCAATATACACAATGCATTGATGACATAAGTTCATTCCCATCCCCACAGATTAAAATTAAGATCTTTGTCCCAGTAACACCACTAGTTTATGGTGCTTGACCCCACAAAGCACATTCTATGAATCCCATTGCCTCATTCTGTGAAGTGATATTTCATAACAAAATTCCAAACTTAAAATGAAAATCCTAGTTAATATAATGCCACAGCTAATCAATTATTGAAATCCTTTCCATCAAAAAAGATAATGAATATGTGGCTTTAGCATTTGCCTTTACATGAAACATATCAGAATAAAATCAGGGAAACAACATGCAACTTACATTAAACTTCAAAAAAGTACTTTTTGAGTCCTCTAAACATCGAGGAATGACGTCAGATTACATGTACTTGCTCTTCAAAAATTCCTTTGTTATGAATTAAGAAAGCCATTGAGGAACCATCTCCAACAATTAAGAGCTCAATAATCCCAAGAAATTTGCTAGGAGGTTGTAGTTTTTAATTTTTTACCTTTATTGCAACTGGAACAAGGTCACATTTATCTTGATATATCTTCAGCCAGATTCCCTTCTTCCCCTACATTACAGATGAAATAGAAATTAGATAACTTGGACCCATAAGTTCCATCTCTTTCTAATCTACATGTAAGAGTGTTCTTTATTAGCAATCAGTAAATATCATAAACGCCATGGGAATGATAAATGACTGAGCATTACAATAATTCCGACGACATATCGAATGAAAAGTCCCCACAATGTCTCATAAAGGAAATATAGCTTGCGTAGAAATGATTACAGAATTCCATGCATAAGGAAGCTATGTAACATAAATCAAGGAAAAATAACAAGGACTCTGCGAGTTAAATTGAACACCTTTATCACCTAAACCAGGGCACTTCAAGGATGTTGCTAAAACCTTGATTGTTTTGACGACAAAAAGTAGGGAAAATTATCAAAAAAAAAAAGAAAAAAACAAGTATACAGTTCCTATGCAACTTACCTCCAAAAGGAGCTTTTTCTTTCATTTTTTACGCCAAAACATACTTTCTTAGCAAATACCCCCAACCCAAAAAAACCAAAAAAAAGGCTAAACTACCCTCACACTTTTACCCATGCCTCTCTCTCCTCTTTCCCACGTTCGGTCAAAACTGTGGTCGGGCAGTCAAAACAAGCAGTCTGGCACTTTTCGTTCTAGTCACAACTGCAGTCCGGCAGTCAAAACAAGTGGTCCGACACTTTTCGTTCTGGTCAAAACTGCGATCGGGCAGAACATACATGCCATCCGGCACTTTCGTTCTGGTCAAAACTGCGGTCCGACAAATTGAATAAGTGGTCCGACACTATTGTTTATGGACAAAAGTGCGGTCCGGCAGACATGCGGTCCGGCACTTCCTTTCTGGTCAAAACTGCGGTACGACACTTCCTTTTTGGTCAAAACTGCGGGTCCGACAAATTGAATAATGGGTTTGGCACTGCTGTTTTTGGACAAAAGTGTGGTTCGGCAAAACAAACACGCGCTGCAGCACCTTTTTTTTTTTTTTTTTACAAAAGTGCGATATGTAGGTATGGCCACGTGAATGTCCGACCAAAATTATTTTCTTTTTGTACAAAAGGGGTATTTTTGTAAAAAAAATGTAGCTTTTTGTATTTGGGGGTATTTGCTAAGAAAGTATATTTTGGAGAAAAAAATGATAGACAAAGTTAGGTTGGGGGTTAATTGCATAGAAAGTATATTATTGAAAGTTATTTGTAATTTTCTCTAAAATATAAGAGGCCTTTATAAAAACCAATAACAGTAATTGGAAGATTTAGCTATAGTTGGATGAATGTTTGTCACCTCAAGCAGCAGTTAGTCACCGACATCCATTATCAGGAACTGGTGTTGAATGTGCATGTGATGTATCATACAAAATACACCACGGCTGTAAGGTATACTTTCCTGAGATAAAAATAGGGCTCATATTGTAGACTTATGACTTATGACACTTCCATCACACCTCTTCATTCAAGGGCATCCTAAAGCACTAAGAACGCTAAATATGAACTATGGTGTTCTTAGGATTCACTTAATCACAAATATAAAGTCTTGTAAAAACCCAATCTACTAGATTGTTGCAGTGTGGACTCAAACTAAAGGAAAATATCGTGTATTTGATGTTATGCTATATATATATATTTTAAACTTCACAACTTTTTAAATTATAAAGGTTGTGAAGGGTGGATTTATTAATTCGGTAGTTTATTTTTTAAAAAAAAGTTATTCTTTTGGGGCAATTTTGTAAATATTAGTACAAGACAAAAGGTAATTTTGTCATCTCCATAAAGGGTAAAATTGAAATTTGAACTAAAAGACAAATGCACTTTACAAATAAAGTTTCAGGACACTAACTTCCAAAATACCATTGTATTTTTGTAAAAATTTCAAATTTACCAGTACTTAATGGTAAATTTACCTATTTAAATAACTTTTTTAATAAAAAAATAATTATTATATTGATAAATACAACCATCACTCCCCTTTAACTTGAACATTTGTATTTTGAGGGGTTGTTTACTTTAAACAAACCTATATATCTATATATATATATATATATATATATATTTGTGTTATCAAGATTAAATTGGTCAACGAACCAGTGAGGGGAATGGTCCAGTCAAAACTAGTTCGATCGTCAGTTGAAACCAGCTGGCCAAAACTGGCTACGTATTTGTTTCGACCAGTTTTTGACCTAGCCTGATTTTTACTTTGAACCAAACGGCCAAGGGTCCGGTCAGAGTTATGACTGGTCGGACCATTACTCCAGTCTAGTGTTGATAACTATCAAAGTGTTCTAATCGGCTTTTTTTTTTCTACACTTCGCATAATGTGGGTATTTATTAAAAACTAAGAAGTTATTGTAACATTCGGATTTATGACTTCTCTCTTACTCCAGCTAACTGAGATTTGAGCTTCAGTGCTTAATAGGAAAGAAGGCAGATACAACCATGAGGTTTTACAGGAAATCATAAGATCGAAAAGTTTCAGTTGAATAAGGCATAAATCCATTAGGCCACCACAAAATATCAATGGAGTTTAAGATGTCATGAATCCATAATACATAAGAGCTAGACACGAAGAGGACACATCCCCTACAAAGATACAAACCAAGCCTGAGAATTTGCAGGAAATCATAGCATGGAAGAGGCAGATTGCCATCACAAAGATATAAGAGAAAAGTTTATATAGAGCCAAGGCTTTAAACAATTAAATTAGAGCCAACTTCAAAAAATTTATTAAAAAAGGTTGTTTTGATGCCCAAATATTTTCAAATTGATCATCTCGACATCAAGGTGCAGGGACATGAGAAAAAATTGGATTCAAGTTTTGGAAATAGTGTATATTGTAATGTATTTTTGGACTATCAAATTTCAAGATTTCCAAGTGTTCATAGATATGCTCGATCTACACTATTTTTTAAGCTTTAAATTTTATAATTAAAAATAAAAATATATTTTAAGGCTATCACAAAGATTTTCAATATTAAAACCACATTTCTCCATACTATTTTATGGTGGGCTCTATTTTGTTTGTTTAGAGGCTCAGCTTTATACAAACCGCACCCAAGATATAAACTATGCTTATGCTGAAGATTTTATGGGAGCCATTGCACTTGGGAAAGAACACATGAAGAAGGCAGAGTTCCATTGAAATGATATTCAGCTTGAAAATTTGCAGGAAAATGTTACATGGAAAGCTCACCTTCAATTTCCAATCAGAAAGTGAAGCTCTAAGCGAAGAAGCGAAAGTAGCGGCATTTGATGGCAAACGATCAGGATCAATAATTTCTCCATCATAATCATCTTCATAAGAATCAAGCGATTCAGTTTTTTCAGAGACTGAAGTATTTGAGAAAACACCATTGTCTCCATTTATCTTTGTAGCTCCTCGAAGAAGAGCATTGCGAATATGAGAGAGACTGCTTTTTGGTGATCTTTTTGTTACCAAGCAAGATGGCTTGATTGCAGAGCCTGAAACAAGAAGGAATGACGAATTTCGATGAGTTATTGATCAGCATACAGAAGAAGAGAGACAGAGTTCTGGTAAAATTACTGATAATTTAACATGAAAACTTTAAGAGACATGCATTTACTGCTTATGGCGTCAAAGGAAGACAGCGTCGTGGAATCAGCACTCAGTAGACCTGAGAGAGGGTGGAAATGATTAAACACTGCTCTCTCTCTCTCGTCATGCAATCATGGCACACACACTCTCAACCACTGTTCGAAAAATCGAACCGGCTTGGAACCGGCCATTCTGAGTAACTCCATAACCCAGCTAGTTCAAACTTCAACCATCCTAACGGACTAGTCCGGTCAAAAAAGTGTTAAAAAAATTACGAAACAAATCTTAAAAAGCGTAAATATATGATTAAACAAAGCACTTCTAGATAAAGTAGTTGAAAATCAAGGAAAAAATAAATTTTAAAATATCGATTTGTGCCCTAGAGCATTTTTTTTATTTTCCAAAAAAGATGGAAAAATATAAAAATAAGTATTCATAGACAAAATATTTTCCAATCTGTTCTAAAATGTCGTATTACAAACATCCCTTATTTTTTAGAAATTTATATAATTTTTTTATTTTTATTCTTTAAATATCCAGACAGACCACCACAATTGGCCAAAATCGGATCAAACATTGTCTGGTTCCAGTTGGACCTGCCGAGTTTATAAACACTAGTCTCAACACACTCTCTACTGACTAAGGGGTACAAATAAGTAGGTTGGGTTTAGTTTGGACCGACCTCTTCAGACATTTGGACCTGAACCGGATCCTGATACATGTCATGAATAAAAGAATTATAATGCTTAATATTATATTTTCAAATACATAAATAATATATTCTTATGTGTGCGCATGTACATATTTGGGTTCAGCTTGCTTGACCCGCCAAACGATATGAGGTATAGCGACCCAGATCGGACTCCAAGGTCCAGTCCACACAAGGCTAGGTTGGTCGAACCACCCGATTCACACCCGTGCTCTACTGTACACAATCATGCGTGTTACGCATCAGATTTCTTTTGAGTGTAGGGGTGGAACTGGATAGGACCCGACCCAGGCCCCGATATGGGTCCAAAAATTTGGACCCAAACACAATTTTGGCCTCAGTCTATGTGGATTCGATCCGAATAGTGTTATTATTTAAATAAGATTTAATATATAATATTAAAATAAATATTATTATATAAATTTAATTATCATATTTAATTATAAAAAAGTTTATATAACAATGAAGGCACACCTCAAAAATTTCCCTAGAAGAGATTATTTTGATGTCCACAAATTCTCAAATTGACCGACCTCAAGATGCATAGACATGAGAAAATTTGGTTTTCAAGTTTTGGAAATAGTGTATCTTGTAATATATTTTTGGACTGTTACTTTTCAAGATTTTAAAGTCCTCATTGATTAGCTCGATCTACACTATTTTTTAAACTTTAAATTTTATAATTAGATATGAAATTTTTTTTAAGGCTATTACAAAGATTTCCAATATTAAAACCACATTCCTCGACACTATTTGAAAGGGCGTCTGACTTTGATTGTTTAGAGCCTCGATCTTATACAAACCGTACTTTTTATATAATATATGTATATATTTAACAAAATATTTAAATATACTTAACTATATATTTTTTTCTCTTTTTGGATCGGGTCCAATCGGGTCTGGTCAAATCGAGGTCCAGTCGGGTCCCGTTGCCATCCCCATTTGAGTGAGGACTAGACCACCAATCTAAGATACCGGGAGGACTTTGATGGAATGAAACTGCCCACAAATTAGGTTATCTCTGTGTTCCCTGGCTCTTATTGAGTTATAATCACTGCTGAGGGAACGGGTTTAGGGCACCGTTGGCCAGGGGGCCGATGGCTCAATAAAACATGAGTTTATATTCATGTTATGGTATCTAAAGGGTCAAAACCTCTTACAAAATCATAAAAAATTACGAAAAAAAAAAAATTTATAGTCACTAGGGAAAAAAATCATCTAGATCAAAACCCCTTATAAAATGAAAAAAAATTACAAAAAAAAGGTTCAAAGCATTCCAATTTATATTAGAGGAATAACTTTTAACTTTTTATTAACATGCTATCTTAAAAAAAAAGGCTTAGGTTACCTTAAAATCCCTAAACAAACAGGGTATTTCATGAGGCTCTAACAAAATAATGGGAGTATCACTGCTTGTTGAAGGTCAGTCACGCTATTGAAATGCCCCTAATTGTTGAGGGTCTCAACTTTGAACATGGGCAACTTGGATTTTGAAAAAATGCTTTGAGGAGGTATCTGAATGAAATCAAAATAAAACTATGAATCTTAATTGGGGTGGTTGACTTGCTTACTGCTTGGGAAATTTATATATCGAACCAAAATAAGCTGTGATGCTACAAAATGGTCCATATTTTGGGTCATTTTAATGTAATATCCTACTTTCTTAAAATCTCTTTATTTCCATTTTACCCTTGATTTGAAATGCAAACTTTAAAATAGCCTTAAAAACAAACATCAGGAAGTTCAAAAGTCTAATGTTTATATCACTCAGAATACACAATATCTAATGTGTTTCGATAGTTCAAAAGTTAAACTTTTTTAACAACCTAATTTTTTTAATTTTTGGGAGTTTAATAGTTGGACTTTTAAACTGTTCAAACATATTACTTTTTTTGTGTTTTCTGTGGTTCAACATGAATACTTTATTTGTTATGTTTCATGGGGGACGAAAGTAGGAAACTCAAACTGCCCAGATAGTTTTTTGGGTTTAAAAATTAGATTCTCAAATTGAAGGTTGTAGAATAATAATAAAAATTAAAAGCTGAAAAAGTAAGACTTCACAGTAGAATAAACCCAAGACAAAGATATATTTGTGGGGCATTTTAGGTCCCTGTTCCTTTTATGATTTTGTAAAGGGTTTTGACCATATATTTTCTTTATTGTTGTTATAAGCGAGAGAGAGCACTCTTAGGGAGCCTAGTCACTAGTCTTCGCGACAAGCTATGCCTTCTTAGTGCACAAAGGTTACTTCTCATTGGATTGGTCACAACAAATGCTTTACTAAAGCACTCTTTTATGGAAAAAGTTAGATATGGTTGTCCCCTTAGAATGTAGAATTAAGGTGCGCCTCGGGAATCTTTCGAAAAAGGTTGTTTGATGTTGAGAAAAAATATAATTAATCATCTTGACATCAAGATGTGTAGATATGGAGAAACAAAGAGATTTAAGTCTTAAAAATACTATATCTTTCAATACAATATTTAGACCGTCTATTTTCAAGATTTTTATCTGTTTATAGATATGATTGATTTGAACCATTTTGGAATTTAAACATTCATAATAAAAGATAACTAATAAATTCTTGAAACATTCTAAGTATTTTCGAGACCGAAGTTGTATTTCATGACAAAGTTTGGTGGTGCACCTTAATTTTATTGGTTAAGGTTGGAACCTTATGCAAACCCAATTCCTCTTTTAAGCATATAAGATGTTTCTAAGGAAAACAACAGAAAAAGTAACATTTAATATATGAAAAAGAAAAAGAAGGCATATTTACATGCAAAACCTGAACTAATATTCAGTTTGAAGTAGAAGATGTATCTTTATTCACCTCTTGCTAGGCTGGTTTCCGTGCTGAGATTTCCATGAGAACTGAACTCCTTTTTCCATGAAAACTTTGTGTCTGATGATGGGGATTGAAAGAGTGATGAACCCATGACACTGCACTCCATCATCATGGCCATAGTTCATGGACACTATATTGTTTTTCTCATTGAAAGTTTGTTATGGACCCAATTTATAGCCTATAAGCATCTGATGTCAGGAGTGGCAAATCTATGGGATAATGCCTTTTAAGTGGGGCATACTGGATTGTCAAATACTGTTCCTCTCCCTGTCTCTCTCTCTCTCTATCTGATGGTGAAATAAAGAAGTTGCACCTGATGTCAGGGTGGCAAAACCAAGGTATAATGCTTCTTGTACAGGGCAAATTGGTACGGCTGAGAATTTATCATATCCGACTCTTGTATAGGGCAATTTGGTAGGGCTGAGAATTTATCAGATTCCACTCAAAACCCGAATTTTGGACCCGAAATTGGATCCGGGTATAGGTCCAAGATTAGTTAGATCCCGATCCAAACCTTGGATCAGAATAATAATTTTGATTGGATTTGGGTACAAGTGGATCTGATCCGATTATTAAAATATTATATATATATATATTGTATAGTTTTTTTTTTTATATATATTGTTTTATAGATATGAAATAATATATAAAATAAATTTTTTGGATATATATTCAAATCTAGATCCCATGTTACTATATATATTACTATTTTTTAAATACATATTGTATAGTATTTTTTTGTTATATATTATTTTATAGATATGAAATAATATATAAAATAATCTTTTTGGATTCGTATTCAAATCTGGATCCCATGTTACATAAATATATATTGTATACTATTTTTTAAATATATAATGTATAGTATTTTTTTGTTATATATTATTTTATAGATATGAAATAATATATAAAATATTTTTTTAGATCCGTATTCAAATCTAGATCCCATATACTTTTCAGATCTTGATCCATATCTAAATATTCTAGATCCGATTGGGTCTGGATTTGAATTTAAATGCCATGTATACTTTTCGGATCCAAATCTAGATACAAATTGGATCGTGAAATAATTGTCCTTCCTCACCCTCTCTCGCACACAGACAATGGGATTGCACCTTTTCTAACACTGAATAGACTCCATCAAATTTAAGCAGTTAAAGTGAATAAAATTTGGCAACTGTCTTCCACTCTCCATATTGTTGAGGGCAAGACAGTCGGATAGAAACTTGCTTACTTTACTAGAATAAAGAGATTTTGAATAAAGCTCACAAATTTTATATATAATTTGCATATCCAAACTGTAGCAATCATGATGTAAAATACGTGAGATATTAGTGAAAAATCTACCACCAACTACTAAACACGTAGCACTGTGAATTGAATAAATGCCTCTCACTCTAATATTAAATTGTAAAGTTAAAAAAAAAAAAATTAATTGTAACCACTTAAAAATATCATAATCAGGGTGTCACTTGAAAAGAACTTCCCCACACCTCAGTTGAATATTGTGGCTTTCATTCCAATTTATACCTTAAAAAACCACTAACCATTTCAAAAATAGATAGGGGCATGTACTACCCCACTAAATTACCCAAAAAAAAAAACAAAAAACTTCCATCACTGAAAAAAAAAGTTCTATTCTTTCTACTACATTAGCAGGGGTTTGTGCGAGAATCCCATTCATTGTATTAATTTGCATAAAGATATACAACAATGAAGAGTTAATCTTTGTGCAATATCATATTTTTATATAATATATAGTTAAACAATGAAGTGTTAAACTTTCATATTAATTTGCATGAAGATATAACTTTTGTGCAACATCATATACATAGAAACAAAAAAACCAATTTCTTTTTTTTTTAAGTGTGTTCTCCAACTAAATCAAAAGTTAGTTGGCTTTTATGGTTTGGGAATATTCTTTTTCCTCCTCTTACCAAAGCCGTTGGAATGTGAATTTTAAGAGCATCCCTGCAAGAACCAAGCACTATTTGCTCAATGGATAAGAATGAATAATTCAGTCATAACCAAAGGCCTAGAATTTACATATGGTCGAATATGGTTTGAGAATATATGCTTGTTCATATGGTAGCATTATGCTTCTTCATGAGGTCCTTTAGGAGTCCCATTGCATACAAAATGGCCCACTCTTGAGATTGATGTGTGTGTTTGTGAGAGAGAGATGATTGGCATATTCTTGAATCGATGTGTTTTAGGCTTTTAGCTTTCAGTCTACATTTTGGACAAATTTACATATGGAGGGGAAAAAAGATATAGCATTGCATGGTTCATATTTTTTTATCATATTAGGTTGATGTTACAACCTTTTTTAGTAATTTTTATTTCGACCTTATTCTCAATTTGAAAGTCTCTGAACTACCCAAAATACAAAAAAAAAAAAAATTATTTGGGCGGTTTGAAGGTCTAACTTTCGAGCAGCTGAAATGTGTGTTTGTGTGGTTCGGTATTATCAAATCCCCATAATATATATAAAAAAAAAAAACAGAAAAAAAGAAAAAATTGACATGTTTAGGTGGTTCCAAAGCTCAACATTCAAAAAAAAAAAAATTTGTGTTAAGACGGTTTGAAAGTCCAAATTTCGAACCATCCAATTACATTTAATTTTTTTGTTTTGGACTGTTCAAAAATCCAACTTCAAATCGTGGAAAGTCCAAATATATGGGAGTAGTTTGAGAGTTGGACTTTCAAACTACTTAAATATGTCAATTTTTTTTTTGGTACGTGCTTTGAAGAGTTTGAAATGCAGATTTGTAATGGGGGTGAAATAAAAAAATAAAAAAACAAATTACAAAAAATAAGATCTCACCATAATAAGACCCAAAATATGAACCATGTAGTAATATATTTTTTTATACGTTCTGTACTTAAACTTTTCTATATCTTATCATACATTTCCACAAAGAAAAATATACAATAAGATCATTTATCTTTGGTACCAAAAAAAAGTTAGATTTACCCTTGAAAGTAACATACCATTTACCAAGTTCAAAGTCCAAAACAAAGTTTATGAAGAGAAATGACACACTATAACAATCCAATTTTATTTTTTTAAAAAAATAAGTAAATTTCTCTATATCTTATTATACGTTTCTACAAAGAAAAATATAGGAAAAGTATCGCTAATATACCCTAATTTTAACAAAATTAGAAAAAAAAAAAAAAAAACCCCCAAACTTCCCAAAACCTCACCCACACCTTTTTTTTCCAATTTTCACGTTTTTTTGATGAAAATGCCATTTACAGGTAGTCTTTCTATCGTAAAGGCATTGATAGAATTACAGTACTTCGAGTACCGTAATACCTTGAAAATATATTACGGTACTTATAGTACCGTAATACTGTAATACTTTAATAAGTATCATTTTATACGGTATTATAATACCGTAATAACTTCAATTAGCGTTACGGTACTTTAAAAACTAACCCATGTTATACAACACTTCAAATGCCGTAAAACCTTTTTTCTTTATTATATTTATCTCTTTCATATCTATTTTTTTATATTTGTCTATTATTTATCTCTCTCATTCTATTTAATGTTTATCTCTTCTTTCTCTCTCTAAATCTTTTCTCTCCCTGGGATATTTGGCCGTGTCCAAATTGGCTCGTAGAGTAAGATTGTAGAGAGAGAAAGAAGAGATAAAAAAGAATGAGAGAGAAAGAAGAGATAAATATGAAAAAGAATTCGAGATAAAGAATTGATACGAATTAAAGATGAAATAGATAAGTATAAACAGAATGAGAAAAGGGTTTACGGTGTTTTAAATAGCATAAACCCTTTTTAATGTTTATCTATAAGGGATTCTCTACAATAACATTGTAGAATAAGGGATGTAGCGCAATGACATTGTCATTGTAGAACAAGGGATGTAGCGCTGTACAATTGAAAGGGATGTAGCCTAGCTTGGCAGTAACATACCATTTACCCTTGGTAGTAACATACCATTTACCAAGTTCAAAGTCCAAAAACATAAAAGACCTAAAAACTTGAAGTTTATGAAGAGAAATGACACACTATAACAATCCAATTTTTTTTTAAAAAAAAAAAATTAACTTTTCTATATTTTATCATACGTTTCCACAAAGAAAAATATACAATAATATCATTTATCTTTGGTACCAAAAAAGTTACATTTACCCTTGGCAGTAACATAACATTTACCAAGTTCAAAGTCTAAAAAAAAAAAAAAAACTCTTAAGTTTATGAAGAGAAATGACATACTATAACAATCCAAATTAAAAAAAAAAAAATTCCAATTTTACATCTAACAGCTTGAGGGATATTGACCTTTTTGAATGCTTTGTAATCTGAGTAATAGTGTCATTGTAGAAGTTCATGACTTGTTGTCATGGTCGTGGATTGTATTCGTTTCATTGGAGTCCTACTTGTGCCACCCCAGCACGCTTTCCTCTAATGCTAGCATTTGAAATGACAACCCATTTGCAGTTTGTATCTTTCATTTGGATTTGGAGACGATTTCGATGAGTCCACGTAGAAATGAGTCATCTCTTAAAATCTATTTTTGAGATCGATTTTTGTCCTAATTTTTGCGGATATGTAACCTCTAACATGGAGATCATGAATACGAAAAAATAAATAAAATTTAAAAATTAATAATAATATTTCATAAAATATTTGGACCGTTAGTTTCAATTATTTTAGAAGAACCACCAATTTGCATCTATCTTCAAGATGGATGCTTTATATCTCGGGGACCGTAAATGTAGAAATGTGGTACCTACCGCATTTGATCCAAATAAGATTAAAGTCTAACGGATTTATTGAGGGGAGAAAATTATCACATATTGCAAAAACAATCCTTTTTCTGACTATATGCTATATCAATATTCAACACATATTGCAATTATATATATATATATAAGAAAATGTTAGGATTAGTCCTCTCGCTCATATGAATCTATGAGCCCAACGGTTCAAGATTGAATCTGAGCCGATCTGACGATCACGGATGTTCGGTAGTATTTAAATTTAAATTTTTTTCTTTTTTTACAAATCCAAATCACTTGAAAATTTAGGAGTGTATTCATAAAAGATAATTGAATCTTCGAAAAATATCAAAAAAATATTTTAAATGAAATAAA